TTTTTTTTTTTTTTTTTTTTTTTTTTAGTTGCATTTCAATAACTGAGATGGTTTTTTTATTTTCTGCTCAGCTACATTTTTGACACACCATTTAATAAGTAGCTTGTCCTTTAGAACATTGGAGATTCTGTAGTATGGAATTCATATTGAGTTGTAAAGTGAATCGGGAAGATATCATCCTGCAACAGGATCACTGGCTGCTTTGCCAGTGTATGTACACACACATTTATGTGTGTGTGTGTGTGTTTTTTTAATATTTTTTGTTTATGGGAGTTTTGATTTTAATATGGGAATTTTTGTATCTCTCGTTTCATGCGCCGGAGAATTGTGAACATGGGTTTAACTTTGAATATTTGATGTTACAGCCCTCTCCACACCTGGTCATAATCGGGTGGGAGAGGGGCTGGTTTTTATTAGGCGCATGAAAGTGAAAGACTCATTCCTATGAATAAAGGAGAACTATGAGGTAAGTGATTTACACTCATCCTCATAGTTAGAGCCGATATGTGACATTGAAACTGTCACGCGTCGGCTCTATTGATTGGGAAGTGAGCGAACACATACATACACATACGGTTGCTCACTTCCCGATCATCTCCCTGCAGTGAGAGGTGACTGTCAGTCACCGCTCCCTGCAGGGATTCCTCTCTCCCCTCTCCGATCCTCCAGAGCTGGCAGAGCCCGCTGCCTTATCAGTTAGCTGGGTGAATTTTGACAGTATTATCGTGATCCTCCCCGACTGCGGCACTCTCGGCATATTGCGCGCAATAGCTCGCTATATACAGAGCTTTGGTTCATGGGAGGACATTAGTATATGTCCTCCCATGATCCTAAAGAGAACTATGGGATAAAAAGGTTACCCCATAGTTCTCTTTTAAGCCCTGCGGGTGAAACATGTAAGGAGAGAGTTTCTTTTGTTCTGGGGACATTTGGAAGGTGTATGCTGTTCAATGGATTGAAAATCAATTTAGATTTATTTGGACGAAGCATTGAGTGCGGCTCTTTTTGGACAAAAATAAAAACTATTATACTCCAATATGCCGGCATGACAACACTCATTGCGCAAAAAACTCCAAGAGTGATATTCTGGGCAGATTCCGAGCGTTCCGGCTATAGTAGTAGCCGCAAATGTGCAGGATCCGTGCTTGGGTTAAAATGTGCGTGTTTTGTGCCACGCGGACAACCGCACTTGTTTTCCGACCGTTGTGTGAATGGAGTCTTAGAGCTATAATTGCTTTGAAACATAATCTATTAAGTCCGGTTATGTATTCATTAAGTTTATTTTTAAAATATTGCTAGTATAATTGCCTGAAATGTTGCTTAATATTCTCTTCCCACAATCCCCTCCACGGCATAAATCAGACTAAGAGTGGGAGGTGATGCATTGTAAGCAAATAAGGGTCTATTGCATTCCATAAAGCTTCCGTGCGAAAACGTTTATTCTTTGGAAGCTAAAGGGGGGAAGTGTGATCAGCTTACATTGAAGAGACCTCAGCAGTTTGATGGTGCTCTTTTATAGTCCAGTAAGTGAGCAGATGACACAGGAGGAGACTATAGTGAATAATGTTAGCCTCATCTTAGCAAGATTGTATGAATCACAAAACTTGTTGATTGCAATTACAAATATTTTGGGCAGCAGTACAATTCGCATATATATGTATTTCAACTTATATATATTCAGTTGTAAATGTTCATAGCACTACACTGATTTTTTTTCTTTTTCCCCAATAATAGAAGACCTTGTACTCTTTCACAGCGGCTGCTGACCCGCAGCTAATAAAAATCTATTGATTCACTTGAGAAGACACGCTTGTCCAAATATCAAACAGAGAGTAAACAACATATGTAGGCTTGGAGAGCAATATGTCTGGTATTTGCAGCACAGCAAAACATCATTTTGAATGTTTCATATTTATGGGATCTGAACATTCTTTATTGAATAAAATATCCAAGCTCTACTTTATTCAGGCTTTACACAGATTTCTGGAACTGCTATAGAGGTGATTTTAGGCTTTTACACACAACGGTCTGACAGTAATTTTTGTATTGTGGGTAATAAATGGAAGCTAGCAGCTGACTGGTTGCTTTGTCCATCCACTCTTCTAGTGTTTAGAAGTGAAGCACACTGTGATTTGACAGATGTGTTCATTTACTCAAGAGTTCAGACTACATTTAAGGACTGACAAAATTAAACTACTGCCCAAGAAAGGTGTGGCCTGTTCACATTATAAATGTTACTTTCCCACCCTTATGCACGTAGCCAGCTTAAACTTTAACTGCCAAGAACATGTAGCTAGGGCTGCATATAACGATTACTTTCATAATCGATATTAGTTTGCCCAAACTTTTTTTTTTTTTTTTCGAATAGTCGGATACAAAAAAAAAAAAGTAATATCTTTTATTTAAATCCACAAAAGCAGTTTTACAAACAAAGTTTACTTCAGAATAAAATTGCATGCAGTTCTCCTTCAGGTCCACTCCTCTGCTGATTGGCAGCAAGCAGTGGGTAGGTGCAATAGCCAGCCTACTGTTGGCTATTGGAATTTGAAACGGCCTGGTCTCTCATACCCACTGGGTACCGGCTGCATCGGTCTGTGTCACCTCCAATCCCTACTGCCTCTGTCAATATAGACGTGGTAGAGCAGTGGGGATCGAAGGGGACATAAACTGCTGCATGCAGCTGGCTGGCAGCAGGGAGGAGAGCTGCAGAGTGGCGGCGAGGGGGGGGGGGGGGGGGAA